CGTCGGCTGCTGGACTTTCCTCCCGCCAGCACGTCGGTTCCAGGACTCTGCCTGCTTTGCTCGCCACCGTGTCCCCAAGCCTCACGCAGCACGTGGCACCTCGGAGGTGCTCAAAACAGAGCTGTCGAGCGGATGAGTGCACGTGACGCGACGCGGGGCTGGTCTGGCGAGCTCTTAGAGCACTGGGTCTGGCAGCCGCTCCTCCGACCCCGGCAGCTGGTTTGCGGCCTTAACTAGTAGGAACCGGCCCTGGCCGGTCCGCGCGGTTCCCGCGGGGTACCCGCCAGGGTCCCGTGTGGGCAGAGGGTGGTGCCCTATCAGAGCGGGGCAGGGAACAGATCTGGGACTCCGTGGCGGGCCCAGGGACCGGCCTGTGCTCACCTTTAGGAAGGGGATGACGAACGGACGCAGAGGGAAGTTGGTGGCCTCTTGGAGCTTGGAATGGAACTCTTCGATGGTCAGCGTGGAGTTCTGAGGGAGGAGACAACCTCACGTCGGCCTGAGCCCCGTGGCCGGCCCGGGGGGGTGGGCCCGCACCCCTCTGCCGCGCCCTCGCCACCCCCCACCCCCGACTCACCACGAGCCCCAGCACCAGCGTGCGCACGCGCTCCCCGATCTCCGGGGAGATGTCACTGCCGAACTGCTGCAGGGTGGTGAGGAAGCGTTTCAGCTTGCTGAGCTGCCGCGCCCCGCAGGCCGGGGGCAGGTGCTGCGTGGACAGGGAGGCGGTGGACGAGGTGGCCGGGCCATTGCTGAAGCCACTGGGTGTGGACGGCGCACCGTTGACGGCCGTCGGCGAGTGGGTGCCGTTCATTACTGTGGGAAGGAGGCGCGGGCTGAGGACGGCAGCAGAGGGCGGCCGGGTGCTGGAGCCACACCGGTGCCACGGGGGCACCGGACACCCTGTACAGGTGTGCACACGGGGCCCCGGGTCAGCGGCTGGGGGGCTGGGCCGGAGTGTGGCCACGAGGCAGGCGTGGCCTTGGCTCAGCACCACCTCTGGCTTCACTCTGGGGTGGGGACACCACCCCAGGACCCCCCGTGCTGCCCGGCCCGTGTCCACTGTGAACCGGCAGAGGGGCTTCTCCACCGCTAGGGACCTGCTGGCCCCTTCCCCTTTTTCCCTGGAAGGCGGGGGCCCTCACCTTCACCACGACGGGCCCGAGCGGCGCCCCACTGCCTGCATGAGGCCCCCGTGCCTGGGCTGATAGGGCTGGGGGTGGACCCCTGGGACACGGGGGTTGGATCCCAGCAGGGGACGCTCTCGGCTGGCTGCTGTGTGGGGCTGCTGCACGCACGGGGCCGTGTGTGTGGAAGACGAGCAGGTGACATGAGCCCCCCCTCCCCCCACCGTGATGAGCACCCTGCAGTGGTCACCGGAGCAGGACTGTCGGTCACCAGTGCCCTGACACGGGGGTCAGCATCCCACCACCCACAATGTCCTGGGACAAGACGTCCCTCCTCAGTTTCAAGTGACGGAGGGAAAGGCTGAGCCCGCACCCAGTCCCCCGGCCTCAGGAGCCCGAGCCTCGCTGACCAGAGAGGTCACAGACAGTGGGCCGCCAGGGCCCTGGTGACAGCGGAGGGGGCTCTGGATGCGGGAAGCGGTTCTGGCACTTCTGGGAGCCCCGAGGCTTATCTGATCAACCCGGAGACCTCTCAGCCAGCTGCCCAGACACCTGCTCCAGGTACCTCCCCAAGTTCACACACGGAGCCCCTCCCTGCACGCTCGCCGGCCTGCCCCCTGTGCACGTGCATGCACGCCCCACGTGATGGTCTGAACCCCCCTCCTCACACATGCCTTCCACCCCCCCCGCCACTCCCTGCCTCAGCATCCCTGCACACACTCCCATGCACACACACGGCATACACACATGAACACACACGTGCACACAGGCACCACACACACGCATGTACTCTCGGACACATGCAAACACACAGACGAGCATTCACACACGAGCACAGATGTACCTGCACATTTGCACACGCACATGCACACATGCACGTCCGTGCACACACACGTGCATACAGACACACACATACTCGCACATATACACAGATGCACATGCGCACACACGCACGTTCGCACACACAGATGCACACAGGCGCGCACACATCTGCACACCGCACGTGCACATTCACACACTTGCACACACAGACACACACTCCCACACACATTTGCACACGCACGTGGACACCTGCGCACACGCACATTTGCACACACAGGCACATTCACACACAGATGCACACTCGCGCGCACACCTCTCTCGCTGTGGTCCACGAGGCCCATGCCCTGCCCCTCCCACCCTGTCCAGCTGATCTGTGCACAGAGGCCGTGCTCTCATGCCCCACTGGGGAGTCTGGGAGCTCAGGAAGGGACTTTCCCGAGGCTCCGGCCACCACCACGCTGGCTGAGACCTGGCAGCCTGGGGGGGACGGGGACGGGGAGTGGGGGCTCCTTTCTTCAGGACGGGGATGCGGCCAAGGTCAGCTCTGAGAAGCGGCTCCCCGTCAACAGCCCAGAGTGCCACTCACGCCGCTCACTTTGAACAGAGGGGTGTTGGCTCACCCCTCCAGACCACGCCTGCCCTGCCTGTCCTGACGGGGCCCTGGGAAGTGACCTCTGCAGACTCTTGGCTCACCCAGCCTGGAGAGGCAGGCACGTGGGTCCCCCTCCCTGGGCCCCGGCCCTCCACAGCCGTGGCTGTCCTGGGGCCTGGACACCCCCTCTACGTGCCCTGCAGGCCTCCGGCCCTGGGGCTGCACTGTCCCCTCTGGGCTACAGAACCGGCCGGTCCCTCCTCGCCAGAGCCCTTCAGCAAATGCCCTCTCTTCACCCTGAGTCTGCTGTCTGGCTGGCTTTGCTCTCCGCTCTCCCCAGACACTTTCCACACCTCCAGCTTCGATGACAGGCTCCCCCCATCCACTGACCTGCTCCCCAGTGACACCTGCAAATGCCCCTCCCTGACTCGCTGAGCTGCACGGTTCTGCCCTCACGGGCATGAGAAGCCACCCTGGCTGGGAGAGGGCATCCCGCCTGGGGCCTCACGTCTGCCTGGACCAGCCCAGGGGGGTGAGACTAGGGGCCTGGCCTCAGTTTCTTCATTTGCAAACGGCCCCTTGGCCTGAACCAGAGGTGGGGCTTTGGGGCCGGAGGGCTGGTGCCTGGCGCCCTGCTGGATTACAGAAAATCGTTAACCTTCTACCACGGGGAGGGGCTGAAATGCTCGACCCCCGATTGCTTTTGTGTGTCGGGTGGTCGCTCGTCGAGAGCAGAGGCTTGGAAACCACTGACCGAAGGCGAGCGTTGGCATGAGGACACGTGTCAGGCCTCCTGTCCCGAGGGGGGACGGGCTGCAGGAACGTGGCCCCAAGTCCGACTCCGCTGTCCCCTCCCCGGGAGACATGACACAGTGGGAGCCCGTCTCGCCCCCGGTCTGAACGATCTCGGAAGCAACGCTCCAGGGCCCGGAAGCCACACGCGGTTCTGGAGGCTCCCACAGAGGCGGTCACTGATTCTGGGTGGCCCTTGCCCTGCGACGGACAGCGGACGCCAAACACAGCCCACCGAGCGTCCCCATCCCTCACCCTCTGCGAGGTGTCGTCCAGAGGGACCCTCAGAGAGCCTGGGAGGCCCCGCCATGGCGCTAAGTTCCTCTCTCACTGGTGAGCTGCAGCCGGCCCCGCGGGGGACAGTGACACACACACGCCCTGGGCAAGACGGACGACGGCCACTGGCCATCGCCCCGGCTGGGCCAGGGGACGGCCGGCTGCCACGGGAGACCTCACCACAGCAGGGGCTCGTCCCTCGCGGCAGAGCAGGGCCGTCGCCCGGGGTCTGGATCTTCTAGAGGCTCCTAAGAGGTGCGGCTGTCTACACCTCCTGGGCCCCCACCCGGCGTCCGCGGGCCCAGCCCGGGCCTGACCTCTCTGCAGTTTTCTTACCAGCTTGCCCTCGGCGCCTGGGTCCTCCCGGCGGCCCGCTCACCCTCGCTCGCCCGTGTTCCCTCCCGCGGGCTGCCGGGCAGTCTCAGCAACTTGCTAAAGAGACGCCGAAAATAACCCCCGGCCACAAGTGCTTTCAGTGCCACAACAGCTGTGTTACTAACTTAGACCGCACACGTGTCCCCAGCTGAGGTTTGGGGGCACACACAAGCACCCCTGCGGCTCCCGCGGCCCTGCGCCCTGGGCGGGGGTCGTGCCGGGACGCGGAGCCCGCCAGCCCCTCTCCCCGGGGGTGTGGATCACGCGCCCCGGCAGCGCTGAGGCTCAGGGGACACGCTGGCCACCAGGGCCGGGCCAGGCGCGTCCCGCCACGGCAGCTAGGACGACAGGCTTGCGGGCCGTGAATAACGCACCCGGACATCCCGCCGCCTCTCGCTCAGAGCCCGCGGGCCGCGGGGGTCACACCAGGACCGTGCGGCCCGCCGCTGTAAAGTCAGGCCTGTCCCGACTGCAGCCACTCGCTGACAAATTCTGAGCGTGGCCCTCGAGCGCTTCCGGTCACAGGTGTCACCTGCGGCCGGAGACCCTGACAGAATGTCTGCTGGCCACCGAGCGCCCGGCGTGTTCGGGCCCCATGCGAGCCCAGCAGCCCCTCGTGGCTCCGTGCGACTGCCCTTGGCGCTAGGTGCTGGGACGACAGATGGGGCCGTGTCACAGGTGGGGAAACTGAGGCACAGGTGGTAGTCCCTGCCCGGGTCACCCTGTCAGGAGAGGTGGGGGCCGGGGCCTGCCCTCGAGACGGCCGAGCTACTGACATGCTGTTGACATGTGACCTTCTCACA